GTTCCTATCTGTATGTGTCGCACAGTGTGATTGGTTTATGCTAGGCACGCCTCTCAACAGCCAGCAGCCACATGGCGTAGTGGATTACACTGGAATTCATCAACATTTGCGTACGCAGGTGCTACGCTGCGTTGATGAATCGCACACTACGAGCTTTGCGTACGTACTTCGTAGAAACTCGGTGTACGCAATTACACTTTACGCAACGTTGATGAATCCGCCCCTGGACAGGAATGAGATCCGTTTTTCAGTGTATGCATGCGCTTGAATTTGTTATTTCTTATTAATAATTGCCTAGGAGACCGAAACGGGCATTACACAGAATATATATATATATATATATATATATATATATATATATATAATATATATATATATATATATATATATATATTACTAAACGATAGTATAGCGATATATATAGATATAATTATACCTAACGCCTACGATGACGACGCTTAGATATGGCGCAGGATAGCGTCCCTTGGCAAGAAGTCATGTTGATCGACGGCAGAGCTTAGCTGAGACGGCCGCAGAAAAATCTTGTTACTTGATTGCCATAGCTTGGGCTATAGCTAGCCATGGGGGTGTGACCTAGCTTTGGTACAGCCAGGTAGTTGAGTTTTTTAGCCGAAAGGCACTGAGGGTGGTCACAGCCAGAGTTTTTTTGCGCCCTCAATGGGTCTTTTACGTCCCCATTGGTCTTAGTATTACTGGAGACGGGACCGCCATTTTACGTAGTCATCGGAGCCACGGGAGATTCACAGTCTCCAATGTTGAGAGTCAGGTTTTTTACACCTTGAGAAAATTCACTGCCCCGGCCGGGGTTTGAACTCACATTCTTCAGTGGACAGTGTACGAGGCCTAACCACTGGGCCACGGAGGCTCTCATATTTCTTATTAAAAATGCTTAGAACTCTTTGCCTTTGTTAATTTCGGAAACTAGAATCTCTGCTAAACCCGACAGTGTAAGCGGCTCGTCCGGGGTGTGTTGCTGGGGCGGCCGGGAAATTTTTGAAGGAAGCCTACTTTTTCGCGTAAAATGATATTGCAACGTGGCTATTTCGAGTGCGTGCCGGCAAAAGCTTGTTTACATAAAAAATTATGAAAGAATTTTTGAGTTAACAACATATACGGTGTCACTTGCGACGTGGATTCAGAGGATGGCATTTTGATATCTCAATAAAACTTCTGCTGATTTATAGGATTTTTTTTGTAAGTATGGCCGCCTATGTGAAATGATTTGCCAGTGTGATACCTTAAGGTATCAAAATAAAAAATTAACAAATGCAAAGAGTTCTAAGCATTTCTAAGGAGAAATAACAAATTCAAGCGCATGCATACACTGAAAAACGATCTCATTCTTGTCCTGTCCCAGCGCTCATTGGCTGATATCTCACTGTAGTACCTTGATAAATGGCAAGACTAAATAAGAAAAGAATAAGCCAAATTATAAGAAGTTTTCAGTGTTAGTAGTAACTAATAAGACTACAAGCTGTGCGGAGGACACACGTGTGTTAAACCGGTACGTTATACGTCGTGTGGTTTACGGCCTAATGGCGTGAACATGTCAGGAGTCCGTACCGTGATATTTGTAAATTGATGTCACTCGTTGACTCTTGTCTACTCCGTGTCTATCTCATATCATGTCACAAGAGCAGCAATTTTAGCCTCTGATGATTTCTGTTTATTTTATTTTATTGATTATTTAACCTGTAAACATTTAACCTCTGACCTTCTACTTACACTTAACCTTACCTTTCACTTGTATTTATACATATTATTGCAACAGTGTTTTAATTTAGAGAGCACACACCCAGTCACTGTAATAATCATAACGTGCCTAGTCGTACCAAAAATCCCTTCTATTATCACAGCATAACCTGTTTGCTTGAGCATGCCCAGCATCTTCGAAATATAATATAATTGATTTGTCCAATTTATTCGTTTAAAATGGAAGACAGATACTTATTGCAGTAGATTAATAAGAAATCTGACTGATAGGACGTCCTAGCTGACGTAACACTAACAATATTTAAATTAGCCCAGTAGATGGCGGTATGTGCATATATGCAGACATCGCGCTTTTATAAAAAAATAAGAGGAATAGGTATTTTAATGGAATTATACTTTCAATTTGAAGCCCACTCTTAGTTTATCACGAAAGATCTCTGTCCGGATCTCTCACTATTGTACCAAATTTCTCTGTTGCACCGCAGAAGTTTGCATTCGTGCATACAATGATGCGGCGCCCCGATTGACGTGACACTAACAAGTATAAAATCAGCCAATAGATGGCGGTATGTGTCCTCCGTGATAGATGCAGTAAGAGCAGTTGCCCTGCCTTTAGAAAATAAATGGAATAGTATTTTAATTGAACTAACTATACTTTTAATTGAGAGAGCACATACCCATCATGCAGTGACTTTAACAGCCATAAAGTGTCAAATTGCAACACATTTTCTTGTAACACTGAGTGGGGCGTTTGTTTCCGCAAGTCCAGTATCCCCGAAATTAAATAATATTTTATTAAAATTATAAGTTTCAATTGGAGAGCACATTTACTTTACACAATATATCTCAGTGTCTCTCTTCAGTAATGATAGCGTGCCCTCGTACACGTCACGCTGGTAAATTTTAAATCACCCAATAAGTGGCAATGTTTCCTGCTTGGCATATGCGGTTTTATGTCCAGACTCTAGCAAATAAACGCAACAGAATTTTGCTGGATTGATATTTTTTACTATAGGGAGCACGTACCCACCAGTCACATAGGGTGCCTAGCCGTGGTAATGTTGTTTTTACATAATAATTTAATATCACGAGAGAAATTTGTTCGTGCACAACCAGTTTTCCCGAAATAAAAGATTTTGTTGAAATTGTAATAGAGAGCAAGTCCTCGTCGCAGTAGCGTGACATCAAAAAGAAATGCTGATGCAGCTTTCATGTGGTATCGACATACCGCTATAGGGATGCCATACATAGATATCTACTCTATACCGTACCTGACGTAACAGTAATTAAATTTAAATTAACCAATAGGTGGCGATATGTGTTCTCCAGCTAAAAGTGTAGAGAGAGACGTGGCGCCAGTCTAAGAGACTACCCCCTCCTCGATGAACTTCAACCAGAGCATATAACTCTATATCCGAGATTTATATGCTCTGATATATCTATGGTAATATAGAGATCAGTGGTGCTCCAGCTAAAAGTGTAGAGATAGACGTGGCGCCAGTCTAAGAGACTACCCCCTCCTCAATGAACTTCAACTTGGGCGATAAAAATCTGTAATAATATTCTGATTTTTTCAAGGATGCAATAATTTTGATGAGTGAAACAACGCATAAAACAAACAGCTAGCACATCACACCCATAACCTATTTATTACGACTGGCCCTAATTTATCGTCTCTAGAACAAATTTATTACCCCACGAGTTTGACGGAAGTACCCGAAAGTGGCGGAACAAGCCGACACAACAACAACAGAACTACATGCTTAACTGTGTTGTAAATAGATGCCATTATTTTCGAATTCATTTGCGTGTCGATCGAAAACGAAGCAACGAGCCAGATTTTTTTTGCTGCAAAATTTCGGACATTCAGCTTTGTTATAATTAATAACATGCGTTCTATTTGCAAAAAAAACAAGTACAGCAAAAAATGGCATAAAAACACTGGTGTCTGACCATGCGCACATCATGTACTGAGACGAGTGGCTAGAGGCTATAGTAGTTTAGCACGCCAGATCAGAGTAGCACACCATATCTGAGTTGCACGCAGCGAAAACACGTTGCTGTAGCACCAAATACTCCTTTATTTGTCCAGGCATGCATGTTCAGCATACATGCAGCTGCCTTTAGAACTGTATGCCCAGCTGTAGCCCTAAAACAACTACCCCCCGAAAAGCTATAGTTCTAGAGATTGCCCGGCTGCAACAATGCTGTGTCCACTTGCACTACTCTGTCGGTGTGTTCTAAAAATTACTTCCTAACTTTGAGTGAGATTACCAATTGGCTAATAGCACAGATGTGTGACGAGGATGCATGCAGATAGGCAAACTTGTTGCGACGGTTATCGAGTACTGGTAGGATGGGCGATCTGGCTCTGGACTCGGGCCTGACAGGTATTTAGAATGTGTAGCCTCGCTCTTCACTCCGGCTTTTCTTGAGTAAAGCAAACACCGGACCTTTCCCCCGACCTTAACACCGCCGTTTACTTTGCAGCTTTGTCGCTGCAGCTGAAGCTTGCACTGTTCCTGTTCTACTAGGTACTTCTACGGACTGACTGGCTGGCTTCGGAGATGCGTGCGGCCACGTCGATTTCGTACTTCTCCCCTGCACATGGGGGCATGCTGTAGACTTGACAGCCTTGCAAGGGACCTTTTCTCATTGCTGCATTGCCTTGTTTTCTCACGTGAGATCGGCACCACCACAGGTAAGACCGTGGGCGTCATGGTCTTTGATAGACTGGTTTCGTAGCTAAGCAATCTTTCTTCGATTCTATACAGCCGGTTGTATCTCAGGTTGGCACTGCCCTCGCTTTGCACCAGGTGGCGACTTATGCAGTGCTCTTGTGAAGAGGACAGAGAAGGTTAGAGAAATCCAACGCCGCTCGAACGGTTGTCGGCGTCGATCGCCTCCATCCTGCTGTTGCATTCCTATTGCGTAGCAGCAGAGTCAAAAGTGCACTTCGACAGTTGTTTCTAAGCGCAATTACTTGGGGCTTTGTCTGAGGCTGCGTCAGCCTTGGCGGTGACCCTTACGTGCACGGCGTGACCTTTGACGAGCACATTTCTCTTGTTTTTAATACGATTTACGATTGGTTTGACTGCTCTGTCTTCAGCGATTTGCGGCATAGCCAAAATGCTGCTGGGGGTAAATGCAAATGAGTATCAGCTGAGCTGTCTGTTACACAGGTTTTCAGTTAAAAAATCTGTTCTACGTCATTTGTGTTACTTTAAGTGCCGGGAAGCATTACCCTGTACGAAACACACAGGCTGTGGTTTCCAGTAGCTGAAGTTGGGTGCAGCACTTTTATTCTGATAAGAAATACCGCGACTGCTAATTGTTTACTATGGAATGTTACTACGAGCTGGCCACCTGCTGATAGAGACTGACTGTCGCCACGTTCTTTTTAGTATGAGCAATTAACTATTAAAAATAAAGGAAAACATGGGGTTGGGGAATTTATTCTTAAAAATCAGAGGTCAAAAGGTCAAACTTAAAAC